GCAAACTATGTCCTCATCCAGAATGGCTTTCGAATCTTGATTGTGGATAATGTCAACTGCTTCAGTCCTGGGTGAAGCTCCTAATTGGGTGGTAGCACACCAGGCAGGGATTTTTTTTTTATCCTTAACCCTAGCTGGTAATGAGTTTATGCCCTGTAGCTCGTCTCAATAGCCCTTGACATTTTCCCTTCCTTCTGGAGAGAGGCTGCAGCTGCTTCTCTGCCCGTTGCTTGTGGGTGGAGTAGCCTATGCTAGAGCGAAAGAGCAGAAGGAGACCCGCTGCTATGGCCTCCGATTCCTGAGATGCCCGTGGCCAAGTCACTTTTCTCAGTTGTAGAGTAAGGACTCTAACCTCCAGCTCTCTCCACTGGGACATCAAGGGACCACGAAATAACGCTTCTGGAGTTCTTGAGATCACTTAGCCTAGGGGTACCAAAAACCACAACGTGACATGATCTGTGTGCACTTCGAGGGCACTAGGTTAGACTCGCTGTGGTGACACAGCAGAGATGGCAGTAGATCCGTGGGGGGATAAACTGAACTTTTGTGACTTCCTCTTGATTCCGGGCAAATCATTTAATCTGAGACCCAGTTTCTTTTTGTAAAATGGGATAACAGTAGTACCTTATGAAGGTATTTTCAGGCTATCAGAGAAAGAAAAACAATAAAACAATGTTTAGGTTTTTTAAGCTAGTTATCCAGCAAAGATAAAAGTCCTGATGTGTTATTTGTGCTAATTTCTACAATGTGAGTACTCACACCACATCCAACTTCAGGCTACCAGTGGTTGGACCACTGGGGGCTGAGTGCCTTAGATTTTAACAGTTGGCTTTGCTGAGCCAGCCCCACTACACATCAATACCACTTAGGAAGGGTTTTGGGTCTCAGCCCTCTGGACTGCTGTTTCATCTTCACTGCTGCCCCATTAGGTAGTAAAAATTAATCCTAATGTAGGGATGAAGGAGTTGGGGTTCTGAGATGTGGAGCTGTTTGTGTAGGGTCTTGCAGTAAGGGGAGGAGAAAGAACAAGTTCACATTTGTGTAATTTTATTTTAGGTTTTTTGGGGGCGGCCCTGGTGATTGAACCCAGCACTTCAAATGTGCTGGACAAGTTTTCCACCACTGAAACTCACCTCAACCCAATCTAATTTCGTAGTTCATACTTGTTTCTCCATGCTCACCTCGCAAGCATGACAGAGCATGGCAGGCGTAGTATGCACTGAGCCATGTCACAGAACTCACTGAGCCATGTCACAGAGCTGGTGTCATCACCTCCTGTCTGAGAGGTGACAGGGTTTGGTTTTCACCTCATGGGTCTCTCAGGCCCTGTTTTGGGTTTCTCAGAGCCATAAGATATGGACCAGCTGGTTTCTTTCTCCTGGCCAACCAACCCTTGAGTGAAAGGAGAGCTTCTGCTTGCACTTCTCCACTGGAAAGCGATACTTATTTTTGTCAAAGATCTTTCTTAGTTCTTAAAAATGAGTGAAAGCCAGACTTTGGTCAAATTTCAGTGCTGTCTCCCCACTTTTTTTGTTTCTGAGATTATGTTCATTTTGAATGGTTGGTCTGACCAACACAACACCGTGGATAAGACTGTGTTCAAAAAAAAAAAAAAAAAAAAAAAAGGATTGTGTTCACCTCCTTCGACCTTCCCCTGCATAGCCCAGTCTTGCCTGTCCTGCTTTAGGTCCAGCCAGCCAGCGACAGGTCCTGCTCTTGGGCCGTCATGATTCCCTGTCTCCTCTGGGCTTACAGGACTTCTGGAAATCCTACTAGTGGTCTGAGTCAGACGTTTCTCCCATTCCCATAGGGCCTACTCCAAGGTTCTACCTCTCCTCTCAGGATTTGCCTCCTTCTTTACCAAGAAGATACAAGATAGGTTGCCCTCAACAATCTTTCTTCCATCCTTAAATCCAACTTCATTGAGTTCTCAGCTTTTTTTCATAGCTTCCTTTCCAATCCAGTGAAAGAGCTCCATTCCAGTGAAAGAGATCCATTTCTCCTGTTTCAGAAATTTCTTTCTTTCTTTTCACTTAATTTTTTTATTTTTTTAAAGAATACAAAATGGCAATAGAAAAAACAGCATTAGAAATGATACAAAATTTCACTAAACAAAGTAATAAGAATTCAATAATAGTTGCTATATTGCATGATGCTATCTTTAAATCAGTTGTTTAGGTTACCAGATATAAACGTGCAAGATTGGGTTAAAGAAACAGCAAAACAAAACAATAACAAGAAAGTTTTAAGAAATTCAGAAGAAGAAAAATAAAATCATTTTATTGGCTGGCTGGCCCTCTTTCAGGGACCATGAAACTTTGCACTTTTTCCTAGTCTCTCTCTCCTGACTTTTCCTCCTCAGCCCACCAGTTTATTCACTGTCTTCCTATTACAAAAGTTCTTGCTCATGGTAAAATTTCCCTTTCAGAATTCCCATTTTTATATTTTCTCCCCCAATTAAATTTTGGGCAATAATTACATCATCTCTCAGGCTCTCAGCTCACTGCCATGATCTGCAAAGCAATACAATAAATGACACAGATGACCAAACCCGGTGGGTGACTGTCTTATTTAGTACTTGGCTTCCCGGTCATGGTGGGCAGTGTTGACTCTTTCCTCCTTGAAAGAATCTCCTTGAGCAAGAGATGGATGGGGATAGAAGAGGATGAAATGAGGTGAAAAAATGAATTAAGGTATATTATGTACATGCATAACAAATCCCAAACCATTATATTTTTTTTTTTAAAGAAAAAAGGGAGTCCCCTCCATTGGTTTTGGTGACAACCATCTACCCTGGTGCGCCTTCCATTTTGATCCCTTTCTTATCAGGGGCTGGGTTGTCCTCTGCTAGCCTTAGTTGGAAGGTTGATGCCCTTAAGGTTGGGTCTTTGGTTTCTCTTTCTTTGGACATGAGCTTCCATAGGAGACCCATCCCTCTGTGGTGACTCCCAGCATCTTGTCTTCGGACTGCACCATTCCTCCAGGGTCCACACACCGTCCACATCTTTATCCGGTGTCTCAAAAGCTTCCAGCTTCAGCATATGCAAGATGCAGCACTTCTCTGCTGGCTTTTCCTTCTGGGTCTCTCACTTCACTGCATGCTGCCCCCTCTGGGTATGAGCCTGGGCTCCTACTTTTTGCTCTTTCCTTTCTCCGCCCTTCCAGCTGTCCAGAGAGCTTTGGTAGAGTGACAGATTTGCCATTTTGGTCTGCTCACCCTCAGAACCCACTTGCTTTTGTGGGGAATTTCCATGATGAATGTGTGTGTTGGGGCTACTCTGTCTACTCTGGAAGCTGAGATGGGGTGAGTGGCTTTCCTCTGACCTTCCTCAGAGCCAGAGAACAGGTGCACACTGAGAATTAGATTGACTGGGGGATCCTCATTTTTTTAGTGTTATTTTTATGAGTATTTAAAATAGATTTTCTTATATTTTTTTGAGACAGGATCTCACCATGCAATGCAGGCTGGCCTTAAGCTCACTTTGTAGCCCAGGTTGGTCTCGAACTCACAATGATCCTCCTGCTGTGCTGGGGTTATATATATCCTCCCAAGTGCTGAGGTTATAAGCATGAACTACCCCACCCAGCTAGACTAGATATTTTGGAAAATTTCATATGTACTTACCTCTACATACACAATTCTCTTCTCTTCTCTCCTCTCCTCTCCTCTCCTCTCCT